GCTTCACATGGGCCATTACCCCGCTCCTCAGCCAATCAGACCATCCCGCAACTTCGTGTGCCTTTCGTTGAAGTTGAGGTGATATCCCTCCGTCCCTTTCAAGATTTGCAATTATAAATGTTTCTAAATTGCTGTATTAATTTAATCCCCGTCTCATCATTCTACACTCGGCAATCCTTTGATCTTCACATCCGCTCGGTGATCATCATAACAAGTGGGGAGGTTTTCACCACTTACTTTTGCTTAATTGGCCCTCGTTAAAGTAATGCATTATTATTAACAGAACCAGACATGTCAAGTGGATCGGATTATTATTATTTTTAAATAAGAGCAAAATATCAAAACTAATTATAAATTTATATTAAAAAGAGACATCAAACCCAGTTCCAAATTATAAGATAACTTTAAAGAAATTTTTTTTCTCAAATATAAGACAATTTAAAAAAATAAAATTTTATTGATGATATTTTTTTTAATGTTACATTTCAAGTGAAAAAAGAATTGAAATAATATTGTAATGTAATGATTAAGTGTGTAAAGAAATTTTTGAAAGTTTATAACTTTGTTCTGAAAAAATAAATTTATAAAATATTATTATTGTATTTTATTGGCATGTATAATTATCTTGTAATTTGGCAGAAAGGAAATATTATATTAGATGACTCTGGCTGAGATAAATTAAACATCGTGATCATCAGCTGAATGCATGTGTCCTCCTTGTGATTTCATGTGCGTTCTTGCTGTAAGTTCATGGAAGTCCCATGACGTGGTAAGCCAGCTGAGTTAATATATATATATATATATATATATATATATATAACAGACGACTATACTAAGGGCAAACGGAAGGATGGGGAATCTCAAAATTCTAAAATATGAGAGTTAATTGTTACCCGCAAAAGAACAGGAGAAAGAAAATGCATAATTTCGTGCATAGTGGACTTAAAGGCACTAGGCACCCAAATTCGTGACCAGATTGAGAGGCTTCAATATCATCCACATTCTCTCCCACTTTTCCCGTGTGCTATATTTATATTTGGTGGACACTTTTCACTTGTATGTAGCGACAAAAAATGTCTCCCGTGTTGGTTTAGTTTACTGTGCTCTGTCCTGCGATAGATCAATTTCTCCCCTACATTACATTATATTTCATATATTTATTTAAAAAAAATTAAATTGGATCTCCGAATCCAAGATTCACTCGAGTTGTTTGCTCGTCACTTATAAAATGTCATACGCGGCAATTCTACACGCAGCAGCATTTTCGTTATTGTGGTGCCTTTGAATAACGGAGAAATAATTTACACTGTGACCATAAGGTTAATTTGCAATTATATGTAAATTTTCAAACTAAAGTATATATTTCTATGCACATGAGTGCAAAATAATAGTGAGTTTGGTGATTGCGTATGGTTGAGATTATTGTTTTGGGAGAACTTTTTATTTATATGACCAGATCGAACTCAGTTTGGATAATTAGGGCCAATGTGTGATTTCAAAAATTGGTTTGTATTGCCGAAAAAATAATATTTAGATCGATTCTCTCGTACTGAACAGGACAATCCTGTTTTATATAGATATAATTATAAATAGCTCAAATCTAGTCAAATGCATTCAATAAACTATACCTCACGAGAGCTTTGCTGGCTGTCAGTTTTTAAAAATCCAAAATAAAAACATTTAAAAATGTCGCTTATACTAGCAATGACGTACGGATCTAGAGCTCAATATTTTAGTGAGGCAAAAAATAAAAATAAAAAGGCCACACAGGATCTCAATTTTATTCATTTCTTTATTGGAGTTAAATTGCATATTTAAAGCACAAAACCGCTAAAAACCTCAATATTTAATTTTATTAATAATTTATTTTTATTTATATTAGTCATTAAATTTAACTTTATTTAATGCAACACTTCCAATGCAAACTCAAATCCACTCACATACTTAAACAATTTAACAAAAAAGCATTTAGTGAGGCTCAATTAATTAGTACCCTTAAGTATCCAATGATGCAATGTCAGCTAATATTTTTAAAAAGAGTAAAATAATTTAACCTTATCATGTTTTACCTTAACTGCAGATGTTTTCATTCTATTTTTGAAACATACACAAACCTCTCCCAATATAAATCATTATAAAACACAAACATTACATCTATTTTTAATATTTTATTTTTATCTACTCAATTATTAATTAACTGTTAAGTTATATATGTCGGATCAAAAAACGCTCTTTAAATATAAATAAGGTTTAAAAATCATTCAAATTACATCAAAAAATTAATACATATAACTTTTTACTTTTTAATCCATGTTTAAATTTTGTTTTTAATCATGTGAATATATTTATTCAATAATTTTTTAAAAATAAAATACTTGTTTAAAATAACATTCAAACAAGGCGTTAAAAAATTTACGAAATAAGGATTTAATATAATAAATTATTAATATAATTTATGTTTATTTTTATTTAAATTTCACTAATTTCAACACAAAATTTTAAATTATTTATTTAAACATTGACATATTTAATTATTTAAAGTTTTTTAAACCAAGAGAGATAGTAGATAATTAGATCATAAGGAAAAATTAATAATTCCAAAATTTTTAACACAATTACAAATAAAATTAAGTATTTTAAAATTTTTAATAGAATATTCTTAATCATGTTAAAAATTAGACTAAAATGTGGGTTTTTATGATTAGAGGAGAGACCTTTTTAATTTTAGCAAAACTCAAGGAGTCCGATGTATTTGATTCTTTTAAAAATGATACATTGTCCCCTCAATAGACTGGAAAAGTTGACTAAAGTTTACTTGAAGAAACAAAAAATACTTAGGTGGCATGCTACTGACACTCAATTTTCACATAAGAGCTGGGAAGAGTGAAGACAGCATGGGATGGGGGAGACATTAGAGAGGGGAGGAAGAGAAGCAAGAAAGGAGGGGCGAGACACACGCAAGCGGCAGGTGAACGAAAAGAGGGGTTGGTGAGTCCGTTGTTTCCTGCGTTGTTTCCGCCGCTGAAGTCTCATGGATTGAGAATTGAGATCACAACCCAATTAACAGCCAGACCACTTCAAATTACAACTTAAAGTGGCTCCCTCTCGCTCCCGCGCCTATCTTTGTCCCATGTGGGGACTTCCGCCACGCATCATCACTCATTCACTTCCCTCTCTCCTTGATTAATCGTTGACCCTCCCCTCCTTCCCTCCTCATAAATTAATTAAACTAGCCAAGCAGCACATGATGACTGTTCACACACCCTACCTACGTGATTCCTCAACTCAATAATCCAGGCCTTTCTACTCTTTCCCTTGAAAAAAAGCCAATGCTCCTCCAATCAACATTTGCAGTTACACAACAGCATCCCTCGTTAGGTGATTCCGTTACACTCAGCTCTTGCCAACTAAATGGCCATGTCACTATTCCCCCTTCACCTACTGCCGCCATACTCTCTACACTCCACAGGACAGCCTCTTCACTTAATGACGCACTTGTTCTAAAAAAAAGAAGATTGTGACTTTCTTTATGCTTCTTGTGGTGAAGGGTAAAGTGTGTGAGTATCATGTGTGCGCGTGTCATTGTTACTTACCGCGAAGGGTCACGATTCCTTATGGAAAAAGGGCGACGGAGCTAAGTTGATCACCTAGCCACCACCAAGGACAAATACGCACTGTACTAGTAGTATACACTAACTTATTAGGTTCGGTAAATGAGACGGAGCTTCTCACATTTGTTTCGTATTTTTGCTGTCATGCCTAGGTCGTTGCCGGAAAAAGTAGTTGGGAAACTAATTAAAAATAATAACAATAAAGGTGTTGGTCAGAGTTTGGATCCACTTAAAAGCCGACGGATTTTTCTTTATTCTTTTCTCAAAAGGTATCCTGTGATTTGTGGAAATGACCATTCCTAATAATAAAAAAAAAAGGATAAGTGTAATTTAATTTTAACTTTTCAATTGACGATGAAGCCAATTCTTCTGTCTATTAACCATCGGAGGTTTTCCTTTGACTGAGTAAGCAAAATGATTATTTTTTGGTTTTGTGCTGCCAAGAGTAACAATAATAGGATATGGCATACTGGGTGGGTGATTATAAGTTATAATTCCATGTTCACTCATGAGCTGAATTTACAAATTTGTAACAATAAATTAAGTGGCGTTACTTGACAAGCGGAGAAGACGAGTAGTGGGAGAAGAAAGTGGCGTTCACATGAAATTGGCCCCGTGGTCCGTGGGGACCACTGTGCAGTGCCCCGAGACAAAAGCGGCGAATGAGGCACGGCCTTCTTCATTCATTCCCTTCCTTTAGCGTTTGGTATTAGTATTATATCTTCCTTTTTCCATCTTGCCCTTCCATCACCGCCTCATTTACTGGTCAAATCCACTCTTTTATTTTGTCATTATATTATATACCTTCATTAATTTATTTATTATTATACTACTTATTATCACTGAAGCTGTTCCACATTACTCTTCCAAGTCCTACCTGGCCTTCAGCCCATCGCTGAGTGTCAGCTGCTCATATAACTTTAGTCCTTGTTTATGAAGACTCACTTTCAGTTCAAGGGGAAATTCATCACATTATTACGCCCTAACTGATTTGGCAAATCTTAAATGCTATTGTTTTTCTTTTGCTAAACAATTACATTTAGCCATCAATGGTAACCAACTGAAAATGGCATGTCGTACGTGAAATCATGTAATTTTAGCGCTTTAGTAAGCTACATGTGAATATGTTCCATACTTGTCCAAACCATGAAAGCCGTTGGTAACGTGTTTGCCAACTAGACGTAAATTTCATGTATAGCAGAGTCTGAAAGATTAAATGAGGTGGCTTAAAGTTATTTCTCATTCGCATCTTGATTATGCAGGACCAACAACCGAGTGCGTGGGTGTATGTTCGCTTAAATAATTAGTCTTCAATTCTGTAATTTTATTGTTACCCTTCTACCTACATTACTTTACAAATGCTAAGTTGCTAGCCTTGGAGCTCGCAGCCCTTCGACATATGTGATAGGATAATCGCGGGTGAAAAGATGTGCACAAGAAAAACTTTATAAATTGGTTTGCTCAGAGCCTCAGACCCAGACCTGGAAGAGCGGTGGTGGCGCCTCTTCAAGGAATGCAGCGGCTGTGACCGTTTCATCCCCTCCCCTTCTCTTGCAAGACCAGAGTCTTTAGTATCAGCACTCCCATTTTTTCAGTGTTCACATTTTCTTACTGCATTTCGTTTTGCTCGCGCCTTGAGACGAGAAAGCTGCGGTGCTTGGGAAAATTATGGAAACTAGCTCGGTTTCCAAATTGCTGCTTGCTTTTTGCTTGGTTTTTTCCCTGGGTTCTGAGTTGATTCACTCGAGTGTCACCTATGACAGGAAGGCCCTCATTATCAATGGGCAGAGAAGAATCCTTTTCTCTGGCTCCATACATTATCCCAGAAGTACCCCTGATGTAAGCTGCTTCTTCCCAATTTATCATCATTTTTCCTTGTTAAATCTTACTTGTCGTGACGCTTCTAATCTTCTTGGGGAAATTACCGCTGCTTAGACGTGGGAAGATCTGATTCACAAGGCAAAAGATGGAGGTTTAGATGCGATTGAAACCTATGTCTTCTGGAATGTTCACGAGCCCTCGCCTGGCAATGTACTTCACTCTCTCTTCTCTGAAGCGCTAACTCTGTTTGCTCTACTTCTGTTTTAGCTGTACTTGAGAATGTATGGTTTTAATTTGTGAGTTCTGCATGCGGTTCAGTATAATTTTGAAGGACGATACGATCTAGTGAGGTTCGTAAAGACAATTCAAAAAGTAGGCCTATATGCTCATCTTCGCATTGGACCTTATGTGTGTGCTGAATGGAATTTCGGGTACTTACCATCTCTGTCTCCCCTTCTTCGTTTTCTTATCGAGATTCTTTTTCCCTTCTTATTCCTTCTCTCCCATATAAAGTTGCTGTTTGTTTCTATTTTTTCCCAAACTTGAGATTTTAGCCTTACAGGACGATGTTCAATTGACGCTAGAATCTTTTTATTTTCGTTATGCGCAGAGGATTTCCCGTTTGGCTGAAGTACGTTCCGGGAATAAGCTTTAGAACAGACAATGAACCTTTTAAGGTCTCTCGCGCTCACTTTCCTTATCCTTATTGGCCATACGTATTGTATGGAATTATTAGTTAAAAGGAATTCGCCGTTGCTTGGGAAACACTTATTTCTCATTTATACTTACCAACTTCTTGTGCAGAGGGAAATGCAAAAGTTCACTGCGAAGATCGTGGAGATGATGAAGAGCGAAAATCTCTTTGAATCTCAGGGTGGCCCCATCATACTCTCTCAGGTAAAAACTCGTTGGGCTTTGGCTTTTAATCTTTAGTGCACACTCTTATTTCTCTAGTCATGGACTACCTACCAATTTCACTGGATTATTAAACGCTTATCAAACATCTGCAATGGTATAATTTTTTTTTTTAGGGGGAAAAGGCTCCGAGGGTTATTATTTCTTCAGCTAGATCTAGCTAAAGCAATGATACATACAAAATGTATTTTTTCAGATTGAGAATGAGTATGGGGCACAGAGTAAGTTACTTGGAGCTGCTGGCCACAATTATGTGACTTGGGCTGCAAAAATGGCTGTCCAAATGGGAACTGGGGTCCCTTGGGTGATGTGTAAGGAAGATGATGCACCAGATCCAGTGGTGAGAATCCCTACTCTTCATCTTGCTGATTCTAGGATCTCCTGAAAGGCTGAAAGTTGTTTAATATCAACAGCAATCATGTGTTCTTTTGACATGTCTTCTCTTCGAGCCTGTTTCTACTTATATTATTGCAATTATTGTTGCGATTATATATCTGGAGAGAGAGAAAATATGCACCCACCAATAGCAGCCCTTTAGCCTTGCATGCCCATTAAGGAATGTGGCTGATAAATCAATCTGTTTCCTGGTTGATGGTGACAGATTAACACTTGCAATGGATTTTACTGTGATCAATTTACTCCCAATAGACCTTATAAGCCTTCAATCTGGACAGAGGCTTGGAGTGGCTGGTAAGCATTTTTGTTGTGACTATCAAATATTTGTATTGTATCAAGAAAAAGCCTGTCTAATTCTTCTGTCAATTATAAAGGTTCACAGAATTTGGAGGTCCAATTCACAAACGACCTGTCCAGGATTTGGCATTTGCAGTTGCTCGATTCATAACCAAGGGAGGGTCCTTTGTCAACTACTATATGGTCAGTTGCTTCTGCTAAACTAATTCTAATTCTAAATTTGATAAATGTTGACACCCACTCAAGGTCCTTGTAATGTATATTGCATATTACTGCAGTATCATGGAGGAACAAATTTTGGACGTACAGCTGGAGGTCCTTTCATCACTACCAGCTACGACTATGATGCTCCACTGGATGAATATGGTGAGAACCAAAAATTCTCTACTGTTCACATTTTACATTGTTTTTAAATTTGACTGAATTGAAGACAAGAAAGGAAAGAGAAATGAAGAGTATCAAAATGGAAATTTACAGAATTTTAGCATATAATGCCGTGTGTATAAACTTTACTCCTAACAGTTCTTTCCGGTGGCTTTTTATACATGCAAAATAACAATTTAAAGTCCAAATACTCCCCATCTTTCACTAAGCTGGTAGTGACTCATTAAAACTCTAATAGTTAAATCTTCTGGTATTTAGTTATCACAGTTGAACTCTACATAAGATATCACTGAGGCATGTTGACTACTGCAAAACAATGACAGGTTTGATTCGACAACCAAAATATGGTCATCTAAAGGAGCTTCACAGGGCAATTAAGATGTGTGAGCGTGCTTTAGTTTCAGTTGACCCAATTGTTACTCAAATAGGGAGCTTCCAACAGGTTTTAACTTACTCCTAGTCATGTGCTTGTGCATTTTAGTTTTTTTGACTAATTGAAGTATGTTTACCAATGTTCCAGGCTCATGTGTATAGTACAGAATCTGGAGATTGTGCTGCTTTTCTTTCAAACTTTGATGAAAAATCATCTGTTAGAGTGATGTTCAATAATATGCACTATAACTTGCCTCCTTGGTCTGTCAGCATCCTTCCAGATTGTAGAAATGTTGTCTTTAATACAGCGAAGGTACATAAGGAAACAAAAAAAAAAAGAGTCTAAACAAAATCATCTTATTTTATTGGTACTCAGTTATTATACTCATGGTTTCCGGGAGACAACCTTTTCATATTCATCTCAATTCAGTTGTTTATAACACATCAAGACCAACGAATTCTTTAACTGCCGTTTTTTAGGTTGGAGTGCAAACATCACAGATGCAAATGTTGCCAACAAATACCCAGATGTTCTCATGGGAGAGGTTTGATGAAGATCTATCCTCTCTGGACGAAAGTTCTACATACACAGCACCTGGTCTCTTGGAGCAGATAAATGTAACACGAGATGCAAGTGATTATCTTTGGTACATAACCAGGTAAGCCTGAATTGCTAGATGTTGTAAATTTGATTCTTCGGTGGTTTGTTTAGGTCCATAATGAAATTATTAAAGCCTTTCATAGCTTTGTAATCCCAGAGGAAAGAACAAAGTGCTATTTTATTTTCATGCCTTCACATATGGATGCCATGACCTTTATTGATTCATTGTGTTTAACAATTCCCTCAGTTGTAGTAATTTATTTCATGTCAATGTGCCTACAGTGTTGATATAGGTTCATCTGAATCCTTTCTGCGTGGAGGAGAACTTCCCACTCTCATTGTTCAGTCCACAGGCCATGCTGTGCATGTTTTCATCAACGGTCAACTTTCTGGTATACACTTCATTTGACTCTATAGTTGACTTTTTCAGCTTATTGTTGAATGAAAACTATACATATATCCCTAAAACAGGTTCTGCCTATGGAACAAGGGAGGATAGGAGGTTCACATATACCGGCAAGGTTAATCTTCAAGCTGGGACAAACAGAATAGCTCTGCTAAGTGTTGCTGTTGGACTTCCAGTGAGTTGTCTTTCTGACCTTTATTTCCAACCTGAAATTGTAAGATTTGTTGCACAATGGTTATTGCTTTTGTGAGTATTATTCTACACGGAGTCAAACCATTCTGGCATCTGAAAAATCTACTGACTTCGGTTACCCTGGAAAAGAAAAAAGGGCAAGAAAAAATAACAACGAAAAAGCATTTATTGCTTAATTCTATCATCTGATGGCTATCATCACTCACTAAATGCATTTCCGTTGCTTGTTGCCGAAGAACATTGGAGGACATTTTGAGACATGGAACACTGGAATCCTAGGTCCAGTTGCTCTCCATGGACTTGATCAGGGAAAATGGGACTTGTCCTGGCAGAAATGGACTTATCAGGTTGCTCATTCTTACTTTAGATGCTTAATTGGCTCATCCTTATATGAAAGTTTCCTGAGACTCATCGCTTAAGTAGGTTGGTCTAAAAGGAGAGGCCATGAATCTCGCATCTCCTGACGGCATCTCTTCTGCTGAGTGGATGCAGTCAGCTATAGCGGTGCAAAAAAATCAACCATTGACATGGCACAAGGTAAAAACAAAGGATGATGTGTAAAAGTTGACTCGACAGAATGTTGGCTTTAAAATTATAGGCTTGATGTTTTATGAACTGTGCAGACTTATTTTGATGCTCCTGAAGGAGACGAACCATTGGCACTTGATATGGAGGGCATGGGTAAAGGTCAGATATGGATTAACGGAGAGAGTATTGGAAGATACTGGACTGCTTTTGCTACTGGTAATTGCAATGACTGCAACTACGCAGGATCATTTAGACCTACAAAGTGCCAACTTGGCTGCGGCCAACCAACCCAGCGATGGTGAGTGATAACAACATTGAAGCCTTTGATAGCAGTTATCGTATTTCTGACAACATTTCATTCTGCTCATAATACTTAAGGTACCACGTACCTCGATCTTGGTTGAAGCCAACTCAAAATCTGTTGGTTATTTTTGAGGAGCTTGGGGGTGATCCTTCTAGAATTTCACTAGTCAAGAGATCAGTGAGTAGTGTATGTGCTGATGTCTCCGAGTACCACCCAAATATCAAGAATTGGCACATTGAGAGCTATGGGAAGTCAGAAGAGTTCCACCCACCGAAGGTTCACTTGCATTGTAGTCCTGGCCAAACCATATCTGCTATTAAATTTGCAAGCTTTGGAACTCCTCTGGGGACTTGTGGGAATTATGAGCAAGGGACTTGCCATGCTCCAGCATCATATACCATTCTGGAGAAGGTACATCTGACTGTGAACACTCTTAATTTCACTATTTGCTTCATAAATTTAAGGTAATTAATGGTATGCTTTGGTTTCATTTTTTGACAGAAATGTAGTGGAAAGCCGAGGTGCATAGTTACTGTATCAAATAGTAACTTTGGGCGAGACCCGTGTCCGAATATCTTGAAGAGGTTATCAGTGGAAGCTGTTTGTGCTCCAACTACCGCGTACTGGAGGAATTGATGGGCAAACGAAGTACCCTTTGCGTGTAGTGTGTAGTGACTTAACCGTATACCATCAACCAAAAAGAAGACGGAATAACGAGTGCAGGTTAAAGGTAATGGTAGTTGAATTGGATGAGTGCCATAGTTTTTCATAAAAGTAGATTTCTTCTTATGCCAAAGGCATGTAATTTGTAATTTAAGTGGCTTAAGAGGCCGTTTAAAATGAGTCATAGGTGAATCGGAAACCTGGGGTCTACATTTTGGACCCTTCTTTGTGAATTTAGAGTCCCAGTCCCCGACCTTTTTACTGGATATGGGCACTGGGAGAAGGCATTTTCGTTGGTGTGTTGTGTTCCTTATCTGGTTGATTGCATCACTGGGGCAAATCAGACCCCAAATTATGTTCAAGTTGGGAGTGGATCCTGCTGTAACCATTGATGAAGTTGTTGCACTTTCTTGCGTCAAAAAATGAGTAGCTAATCAGGGGTGAGAATCAGGAAAACTACTGAAATCTCAAATCTATGATATGCCCTTCACCAGACATGATAATTATTCTTTGGCAATCCAGGATTAAGAGTAAACAGAAGCTGATGGCATGAAATAACATAAAAACACAACCAACACCAAATAGTACGCCTATGGCACTCTCTGAAGCTAGATTAAGCGCTGGCTATTGCCATATGCTTAGTAAGAGTTTGCAGCAATTCTTCCTTCTTTGCTCCCACCACTCTGTCCAGAATTTTCCCCTCTTTCAGGAACACAAAGGTGGGCATTGCTTCCACTGCCCAGTCCTGAGCAACAGACTGCATACATCAACAAATTGTTTAGTCCCTGAATTCAGAGGACATTCCAAGGATAGAGGGAGAGGTGTTATACAAGTTTTGATTTTTCTCTTACCTTCAATTCATCCACATCAACTTTGAGAAACGTGACGCCTGGATACTTCTTGGCCAGCTCAGCCAGGACTGGTGCAATAAAACGGCATGGTCCGCACCAAGAAGCGGTAAAATCCACAACGATCTGGGTCAAATACTAAGATAAGTCTCCATACAACAACAGAAAACCTCTGATTTGAGAACGTCTCCAATTTAAATCCACCAAGAGCAGATTTCGCTCAACTTCATAATATGCAGTTTATTACATGATCAATAACATCGCAAGTTTCAATGTATAGGAGCTACTGTTTCTTTGTTTAGTTTTCCACCATGCAGTTTTAAAACATGGGTTGGGTAGACTCCAGATTTTAATAAAATGCTCCATCAGACTGTCATATATATATATATAGCATAAAAAGAGATGGGGGAAGGAGCAACTCCAAATCATGCTTAAAAACTTTTTATCAGTGTCTTGTTCAATTATGTTCCCAGCTTTCAACACCGCCTTCCTCTTTCATAGCTTGGTGCTTTTCATGACTTGCTTCTTTATCAAACATATGCCACAAATCCTGAAGGTTTTAAGATAGGTCTAATTCCAGAACAAGATGAAAATCAGGGAACAGGTTGAGATCCAATTCTCTCCTCCCCCAAAAGAGAGAATGAGAATAAAGCACTAGACTACACTGTTTGTTGAATAGATTGAACGTGTGATAATAGTCAAATGGTGTGGGTGCTTTTTTTGCCCCAAAAAAAAAAAAGAAAATCACGAGTAAAGCATCAGTATTTCCTTCTCTATCTAACCCTTGCATACACGGGGAGGCACGAATTGAGAAAACCATATATAACTACAGTACAATCAAGCTACATAAATTTTAAAACCATCAAGCGTTTGCTTCAGCTTTCAATCCGATACCTATACTTTTGAATTTGACGAATCTTAAAGGTCAGTTCTTAATTCTCATGAGGAGATTATACATATAACAATTTCAGAAGTACAGCTTAATTCATCTACCAAATAATCTAACCAGCACAAAGCGTAAGATTTCATATCTCCAGTAGCTTAAACTGTTGTACGAACCGCGCAATAAAAATCACAGTCAATATCACCCCAAAGTGTAATTAATCTCATTTTCCTTGGGGCAAGCAGATTTTAGAGGCAATTGAAAGACGCGTTATTGGTATATATAGGTCAATTTAAAAGGCGAATTCTAATAAACTTGTAGAATCGAATGTCAAGACACATAAGGTTCGGAAAAACGAGTTTTAAAAAACCGTCGTCGCATGATGAAGTGGTTCATCCATCAAGTTCAGCAAATTCTTGCACGCTTTTTAGCATAATCCAGATAATGGCAAACCAAACGAAACCCATCAATCAGAATCGCGTCACATACAACGCGGATAAACCAAATCGGAGTATAAAAGAACAGATCCATTAGCAACAAAGCCAGCGAATTAGAGATAAGCAGCAAACGAGAGAGGTGTGAAACCAGTTTCTTGGAGTCATTGCCCTTCTGGAGTTGCTCGTTCCACGCCTCAACGGTGTGGCAACTGATGACCTGACCCTCTTCGCCTGCCATTTTCTTCCTGTATTCTCGAGCTCTCCAATTTCGCGAAGGCTGCTAGCGTACGACCTCAACTTTAAATAAGCAGATCTCGTGAAAAAGGCCTTCAGTTTTTGACTTTTTTACGAGTTTGCCATGAGTCGTGATGCCCAGGCTGAGGTTCTTATGCAGCGTAAAATGACCATCATTCGATGCCTCGAGTGTGGCTCGCGCATTCTCATTAAAGTGTTTCATTAATCATTAATCATTAATCATTAATCACTATTCCTACGCAACGTAAGAATTTGGATATTTATTTTTCTGTATTGAAGTTGTTGATTTATGCACCTAATAATATAACATTCAGGCACGTGGAATCACCCACACTATTCATACACTAGTATTTAATATTTTAATAGGATAAATTATACCGCACCATAATGTGGTTCGTGCAATTACATTAATTGCCGCTTTCTTCCTATTGCTTTGCCAATGGCATTAATTGTTAGCAAAAATTGCCACATTGAGGCAAATTTTAGAATTCACACAGTTGAGGACAAATCGTTGGGGCTTTTTGCGAGAAAACAATAAAAGATAGCTAAGGAAACTTGTGAATTTGAATTCGGTAACTGTACTTATATTAATTAAGTCGTTAAAATCCAAATCAATGATTATAAATTTATATTTTATTTAAAATTAATAAATGAATGAGTTTATTTGAATTGTTGATTTGAATTTCAATAACTCAAATAGCACAGATACTCCTTGCTTGTATTAAGTATAATCATCAAAGACATTTGAACCACCAATTCTTCTTTTATACCCTCACTTCTAATTTTGTTGAGAATAACTTTGCTCTCCTTCAAACTCTTCCTTAATCCAACATCTATTTAAGGACAACATACCGGAAGGTGTTGAAATTTTGGGATGGAGAAAGAGAGGGATTAAGCTAAAAATAACTTTTATTTTAAACGCACACAACAATTTACACCGAACTCCTCACCTCACCCTCTCTCACTTCTCTCACCATCTATTCTGACACTACACCCACACACACACACCTCTCTCACGTTACACGCTCACTCTTCCCCTCATCACCCTACTTTCCGACGTTCTACATGCCCGCACTTCTCTTTCTCACGTTATTCACTTGGCACACCTCACTCTGCTCTTTCTTTGCTCTACACAAGACCTCAAGCCAAGATCCCATATTTATACCATTGTTGCACCGCCTTTTATAGTCGGTTTTCTTTTCAGAATTTTGATTTTATCGCCTTTGTGTTGTTTTGCCCGAAGTTTTCATATTGTTCTTGATTTTATTCTAACTCTAGATTTTTTCTAAATTGGTCGGTGATTTTCCAACACTCTCCCTCACCGCCTAATTTTAGTACATCTTCATCAAGCCATATCGTTTCTTGTCTTCTTCAGTCTCCTGAATGGTTTCTTGAGTTTGTCACGGTCAACTCCTTTATATGTGTGCAGTCCTTCTGTCTGTCCTTTTTTCTTTTTGTTTTAAGATGACTAAAAGGCACGGTCGGGCTCTCCCAACTAGCAATTGCATATTTGATATTTGTGGATAACGGAAAGAAGGGCACTCGATTTTGCATGTGACTTTGTCAACCGATAGTTGATACCGTCGTTGCTAGACATGACAGCAGCTTCCGCTTGGAAAATCCTGGCGGAAAACCCATCTTGCCCCCCCTCATCCCCTATTGATTGAATTTGAATACAAGTCTGTCTTGTAATTTCACTGACTGATATTCACAAACACACACACACACACACTCACATATATAGCAGAGACGACTTGTTTATAATGAAGAGATTGATATTTGGATGCATTAAATATTTATTGATCAATCATATTATACGCAGTAGTAAAATTTATCTGCGTCAGACTTTCATTAAATAATCACATGGCAAACATTTCAAAAATAGCTGCCAAATATTTTCCAGTGTCATGAATAGCGATCTTCAAGACTTCAACAAGGGGGATATGAGACTTGTACGCATGCATGTAATACATTAAACCCAAAAAGAAGGGTAATGAGTCAACACCATGCACCATTTATCTATCCTGAAATTGGCCGGCGGGGAAGGTGCCTGCAACCAGCTATGTTTGGGCGGAGGGGAGGGAAAGGATTTTAATAGAGGGGAGGGGAAAAATTTTCCTTCCCCTCCCCTCCAATCAAACAGGGGATAAAAATCACTTGGACAGAAAATAAATGACAGTTTGGATATCTACCAGACTTGAACTGAATTAATGTATGATACAGTGTAGCAATATGAAAAATACATACTACAAGTAAATCAAGTTTTTGAAACAGTAAGTACCGAGGAGGAACCAGCCAAAAAGAGCAAAGGTGAAGAATGACCAATAAGCTAGGAAGGTGAAGCCCCCAAACGTGATTCCAAGAAAAACCACAACAGTAAATGGTAAAACAGATTTCAGAATAGACGCTGTGCAGACCCAAGAACCATTGAGTAAAATGTAAATTGCAAGGTTTACCACGTTCCATCCCCCAGACAAGAAGCCCAGCCTGTTTAAATTATTGGCAACAAACGAATGACAATTGCATGTTAAAAGATTGTAAGATCGATGCTGGAATTCCTGGGTGCTCTTCCTTAGTGCATCATCCCAAGTCCTCAAGTCCCCACTGGTTTCATCCCGCATGAATTGATCCTCTCCACCGAAAGCAGACTGAAAAGAGGGGATGCAACACTGCTGGCAGGGATTACAAAAGAACATATGAGAAGCAATAAGGAGCAGAAAAATGTGGGCAAACAACATGAATTAAGTAGAAGTAACATTAAATTTTAGGGTCTTCACAATTGTTACAGATCAGCTAGGGTATATAACTATATATCAGAGCATGATGCAAGAAACTGAAGGAATACAAATACCACAGGCTTGCAGTCATTTCACAACAAAGCGAGGGTCTCTAATTTATTTTATCAATTCCACTGATAACAGTGTCTACCTAGTTTTGGTTCAGGTTTCAAGCAAAAATGTTGTCTACTAAGGGGAAAAAACCTTAACATTTCTCCCCACCCAATCTGATGATAAAAAAAAATAATTTCACATACCTTTTCTTTACTTATTTGAATATAGCGAGTTGGGGCTCCGAATGCAAAGTTGTCTACACACACAAAATTAGGCCCTGCAAAATCCAATATTACTCCATCCTCTCTGCAGATGCCAATGTGACCAATGAAAGGAATGAACCATGAGATAACAGGAAGAGGAGACCACACAATACAACATGGAAATCGCGCACGACTGGGATCAATTTGCATGGGATGAGAAAAACTTCCTCCCATGATCTGTTGGTGCTCAGGGTCCAAATCTGATTCCATTGAGAAGTTGAAGAATAATGACTTTCCTAAAGACAGCAAGTAGCATCAAAAGGGATTCCCTTAATCCTTTCACACACGCGTGCGCGCGCACACACAAACACGATTTGAATCTTAATCAAATCAATTATGAAGATGATGATACAGCAAGAATGCAAGTGTAATGTGTTTTTATGGGTTGCAGTTCACCTTGGGTTCATCTAAAATGTTGAAGGACATAGATAGCCAACAAATGCTCCAGAGGCAAGGCAACTTAGGCAATTTACACTAGGAAACTATGATACTAGCCCGATTTCCTTTCTATACTCCAATCCAGAACAACATTCAATGTAATCTCAATGTCTTCCATGTTCATGTCTGCTTAGCTTTTATTACAAAAAAGATAGGGTATAGCTTGTCTAGAGTTAGAGTTTAGAGATATTGTATCTTTTTTTGTCAGAGATATTGTATTCATCGTGCTCAGCTTGGCTCTTTCGTGCAGCATAGAGTATATAGGCGAAAGGCCCATTTTTGAACCAGCTTACATCCATATTAATGGATCCCATGATGTGGATGACATGGCATTAATGACAATGAAGCTTGAGAATGGCAAGAATAAGCATGGTGGTATGAAAGGAACCTAAGGCAAGGAGCAAGGAACCCAATACTTCCAATCCAATGTGCCTAAAGACCCTTTACAACATATTAAAGATTTAATGATAAGAGTCCGAATTAAAGCAATGAAACAAACTTTATTCAATCTCATGCAAGAAGTCCAAGAGTTTAGAAAGCATTGGGGCACTCCTCTCAAGTCCAAAGGAGAGTATCTAGGTGTGTATAATGTGCTTAAGATCTAAATCTATGAAGAGTCAAGCCCAAGAGGTGTAAACCCTAGCCCAATGCATGGAAGACGACAAGTAGAGCCTCTTGCAAGCAAAGAGGCATGAAACTCTAGTGAAGAGGTCAAAGGTGGCATGATTTTAGGTTCCTCATGATCCTTTGATTATCTCCTTAATTATTTTCTAATTTAGTGGTCCTTTAACTTGACTCCTTTTCTTAAGGAGCAAGATTAGTCATAGTTTCCTATTATTATTTTCCAAGTTTTATAATCCCATAATTTTATGATCACATCTCCTAAGTTATGTATTTGAATGTTTTCTCTTTATTTTATATTATTTTCGTTCTCCTTTTTGTGTTAGGAAATTAGGAAATAGTTTTCTTCACAAGCCTATATATATTAAGCATAGTCCTTGTAAACGAAAAGGAAGTTGAATGAAATTATTCATTTTAGAGTTTATAACTCTTGTGAGTCTTAATGCTTTGTGGTGGCATCCCGTGTGAGAAACAAATGTGATCAAGAGCGTAATCAACTCTTGTAATATCTTTAAAGGTTGAAGTTCCTAAAAATAGGTGCTCTAGAGGATCTTCTCCTTGGTCATTATCCTTTTGTTTTTCATTTCTTCCTGTGTTCTTTTCATAAATTTCATCCCTTTTTTTTCTTCTTGTGCTTTTTTTGTATTTCAGGGTTCTATCCCTAAATTAACATGATTATGCTTCCGCATTCCTTATCAGATTAATATTAGAGCTTTGGTTGCTAATTTGTTAGTTGTGATTCGAATTTTTGTCCTTTCTTCTTTTTGATTTTCGTTGCTTTCATCTTCTTCTTTATCTTGAATTGTTTCTTTTTGTAACTATCTTTTATCTACCCTTTCTACTTCTATCTTTTGATTTTCCTCTTCTTCGCCTTTGTGACCTTTTCATCTTATGTGAGTCTTTTATTTTATTAACCTAGTAAAAAAAAAGAAAAAACACCTAAGAAATGGTGAAAAAAAAGGCCAAAAAAAGTTTAGTGTGTTAAAAAAAATGAAAAAACTTGAAAATTCAAAAAAAAAATTACAAATATATATATATATATATATATTGTTGTGAGTTGTGATTATAGGAAAAGGTTATTCTTGAACTTCAAGTCACTACGAAGTTGCCTAAAGGGAAAAGTCAACTTGAGTAGTAACAAAGTCTTCTACTTTGCTCATTTTTCTTTTTTAATTATTTAGTAGCATTTTTCAAATTTTCTATTTTGCTATTTTGCTATTTGCACTACTTTCCTATTTTGTTTGGTTTCCTATTTTTGTCTTTGAATATTTGAGTATTTGACTTTTCTTTTTTTCTTTCCTATTTTTGTTCATCACATGTGATTTTTCCTTTTGCAAGCTTGATTTTATTTGAAAATTTTGCTTTCCTACTTGTTTCAAAATTTGCAAAAAAAATCTTCTTGCTTGTTTTCTAATTTCCTTAATTTAGAAGATAATCGCTTGGTTGTTTCTTAATTTCTTGATTTGTATTTGGTTTCACTATTGAATTCTATCTACAAGCTTAGTGAGTGGTAAAAGACAAATGTATTTTCCATCATTAAAAAAGCCATTATTTTTTTTTTTTAATGAAACACGAATGATTTTATTTTTCTTGAGAGTAAACACGTGAATTTTTGTGCATGAGGATCTATTTTTATCTTATATGATTTCTAATACTTTTGTGAACATAAGTAATAAGAATGAATCTCTTAGTGTTGATATGAACTCAGTTTTAGAATTTATTAAAATATAGTTACAGCAGTTTCGATTAGAACTTGATCATAGATTTCATAAGGAGGATAAGGATGAGCAGGAGACTTCCTCTTCTAAAGGGAAGAAGTGTAAGACCCCCAATGATGATGAGGAGTATGAAGAGTTCCTTTCTCCTAATGGAAAGAAATTCTCAAAGCGTGATATTAACTTACCAGACCAGAAAGTAAAGTATCATTCATTCAAGGGTAGTAACAATTCAAACAAATATTTTAATTGGGAAATAAAGATGGACCACATCTTCATGACTCTTAATTTGTCTGAATCAAGGAAAGTAAAAACTGTTTCTTTGAATTTCACTGACAATGCCATTTATTGGCAGCAAGATTTATAGTACAAAAAAAGCCAACTTGAGAAAAAGCCCATTAAAATGTGGGAGAAGCTTAAAAGATACATGAGAAAGGCTTATGTCCCTAGCCACTACTACATAGAGTTGAATAGAAAATTGAAAATATTTTCTCAAGGATCTATGATTGTGGAGAAGTATGTGCACGAGTTGAATATCTTGAAATTTCGTGCAAACATTTAAAAGAATGAATGTGAAGCAATATCAAGAATTATGGATGGCTTGAGGCTAGAGTTGAGAAATAAGCTTGACTTATACACTTTTATAGATAAGGAAGAGCTCGAACAGAGAGCTATAAAGCTGGAGCAGCGAAATAAGAACAAATATTCCAAGTTCTCTTCGAAAAACTCCAAGCCAACTTCAAAATGGAAGAATTCCAAAGTCAAAGATACATCTAAGGCCAAGGAAGAAACTAAACCCAAGTATAAGGATAAAACTTATAACCCTAAACCTTCTTATTTATCTAACACTTTTCCTCTTAAGTGTTTTAAGTGCCATGGCGTGGCCCATATAGCGAGAGATTGTAGTAATAAAAAAATTATGCTCTCGAGATATGATGGCTATGATAGTGTGCATGAAAGTGATAAAGATGATGCTGATAATGTTAATGATAATTCTATCTCTCATGAATCAAATGATGAGTTTGAATGCAATGGTGTTTTTGACTCTATCTTGGTGGCAAGAAGAGCTCTTAACATTCAACAAAAGAAGGATGATGAACATGAACATATTTTTCACACTAGATGTTTCATAAAAAAAAAAATGTGTAGCATTGTAATTGATGGTGACACTTGCACTAATGTACCAAGCACTTTACTTGTAGATAAATTGTCTCTATCTTTAATTCCACACCCTAAGCCCTATAAAATGCAATAGTTGGATGGTTGTGTTGAAATTAGAATTTCGAAGCAAGTATTGATTACTTTCTCTGTTAGGATTTATACTTGTGATGTATAATATAAAATAGCTTCTACACTTGCTGGATACTTGTCATTAGGCAAGCCTTGACAGTTTGATAGTAAGGCTACCCATGATGGTTGCAAAAATTATTACAAGATGCCTTTTAAAGGCAAGACTGTTGTATTAAATCCTCTTAGACTCATTCAAACATATGAAGATCAACTGAAGATTGCTCAAGATTACAAGCAAAGGAGAGATCTCCTTGATTATGGCGTAAGTGAAAGAGAAAAAAAAGAGAGTATTACTTTACTTAAGAGTGAATCAAAAGAGAGAAAAAAGAGTAGTGAGAAATTGAGAGAAGAGAAAAATATAATGGTGGGAGTAAAAAAAAAATAGTGGAAAGAAAATATTATTGTGTGAGAAAAGTGAGATTCAAGATACTTTGATGAGTGAGCAAGCTCTTATTGTAATTCCCAATAACATTTATTTTGTTTACTGATACTTTTAACCTTACTTTGCCTTTTAATGTTGTCTCTTTGTTGCAGAATTATGAAAATCCATTCCCTAATGAGGTTCCTGATAGACTTCCTTCCTTAAGAGGAATTGAGCATAGGATAAATTTCTTGCTCGGAGTTGCTATTCGAAACAAGCTTGCTTATAAGGCTAACCTTGAAGAGACTAAGAAGATCCAGAGCTAAGTAGAGGAATTGATGATGAAAGGCTTTCTGCATGAAAGCCTTAGTCCTTGTGCTATCGCAGTTCTCTTGGTGCCTAAAAAGATGGATTTTGAAAGATGTGTTGATTTTAGGGCAATCAACAAAATCACTATAAAGTATCGTTACTCAATCTTTAGACTTAATGATATGCTTGATGAGTTGCATGGTGCTTCTATCTTTTCTCAAATTGATCTTAAAAGTGAATATCATCAAACTTGCTTGGAAGAGGGTAATAAGTGAAAAACTACCTTTAAAACTAAATTTAGATTATATGAATGGTTAGTTATGTCTTTTGATTTAACAACGCTCCAAGTACTTTTATGGTATTAATAAATCATTTTTTAAAAAGTTTATAGGGAAGTTTATTGTGATTTACTTTGATGATATTATGATTTATAGTAAATCTTTGAATGATTATCTGAATCATCTTAAAACTGTGTTTGACATCTTAAGGGAATATAAGTTATATGTTGATTTTCAAAAGTGTTTCTTTTACATGAATTCTGTTATCTTTTTGGGATTTGTTGTTGGATCACAGAGAATCCATATGGATGAGAAGAAAGTTAAGGCTATTCATCAATGGCAACCCCTAAGAATGCAAGTAAAGTGAGAGGCTTCCACGGCTCAGCAAGCTTCTATAAGAAATTTGTTAGAGAGTTCTCTAGTATTGTTACCCCTCTTAATGAACTTGTTAAAAAGAATGTGACTTTCACATAGAGTAAATACAAGAAAGGGCTTTCCAAATCCTAAAGGATAAATTGGCTAATGTCCTTTTACTTATTTTACCTAATTTCTTTAAGTCATTTGAAATTCAATGTGATACTCCTAATATTGGTATAGGTGCTATTTAAATACAAGATTTTAAGCCCATGACTTACTTTAGTAAAAAATTACATATTGTAACTTTGAATTATTCTACCTATAACAAAGAACTTTATGCTCTAAAGAGAGCCTTAAAAACATGGCAACACTATTTGTGGTCTAAAGAATTCATCATTCATTCTAATCATAAATGTTTAAAGTTTCTCAAGTCTCAAGGCAAGTTGAACAACAGACATGCTCGTTGAATGGAGTTTATTGAGACCTTTTCTTCTATGATTAAGCATAAGCAAGGCATAGAAAACGTTGTTGTTGATGCCTTATCTAAGATGTATACATTACTTTTCTATTTGCATGTTCAATTGCTTGACTTTAAAATTCTAAAAGACCTTTATAAATCTAATTCTAATTTTGAAAATATTTAAAAATTTTGTGAAAATCATGAATCTAGTGATTTCTTTAGATTTAATGGATTTTTTTTAAGAAAAAAAAATTGTGCATTCATATATGTTCTACGCATGAGTTGCTTACTAAAGAAGCACATAGTGGTGGTTTGATAGGACACTTCGATATAGAGAAAACTTTAACTATTTTGTCTAATCATTTCTTTTGGACTCATATGCGGAAAGATATTATATTTGCTTGTGATAAATGCATTAAATGTAGGCAAGAAAAATCTAAGGTCTAACTTCATGGACTTTACTCTCCTTTACCCATTCCCTCTCATCCTTGAGAACATATTTTTATAGATTTTGTAATTGAATTTTCTAAATCTTCTGCAGGCAAAGATTCCATATTTGTTATTATTGACAAATTCTTTAAAATGACACACTTTATTACTTATACTAAAACTAATAATGCTATTAACATTGCTGCCTTATTCTTTAAAGAGACTGTTCGTTTGCATGATTTATCTAAAACCATTGTGAGTGACAGAAATATGAAGTTTCTTAGTCATTTCTGGCGCACCCTATGGCATAAATTGGGGACTAAGTTACTTTTTTTCACTACTACCCATCTATATATTGATGATTAAATTGAGGTAGTCAATAGAACTATAACTACACTACTGAGAGTGATAATTTAAAAAAATTTGAAAAATTGGATAAACTGTTTACCTTATATTGAATTTGCTTACAATAGGACTTTTCATTTTTCTACTTCTTACTCTCCATTTGAAATTGTTTATGGTTTCAATTCATTATTTCCTATTGATATTTTACCTTTGACTTTTTTTGAGCGTGCTAACACTAATAGCAAGAGAAAAGCTGAGTTTATACAAGACCTACATGCTAAGGTTGGAGCAAACATGGAGTGAAAGAATGAGCAATATGCTAAGCAAGCTAATAAAGGCAAAAGACGTGTGATCTTTGAGTCTAAAAATTGGGTTTGGTTATATTTAAGAAAAGAGAGATTTTCAAATTAAAGAAAATCCAAACTTCAAACTCGAGAAAATGGACCTTTTTAAGTTTTCAAAAGAATTAATGATACTACTTACAAGATTGATTTGCCTAACTCTTATGACAATGTTATTGCCACATTCAATGTTTTTGATATATTTTTATATGATTCTGTAGATTCGAGGACAAATTCTTTCCAACTGAGAGGGAATGATAGATCCCATGGCACGAATGATATGACATTAATGGCAACGAAACTTGAGGATGGCAAGCATGAATATGGTGACATAAAAGAAGCCCAAGACATGGAGCAAGGAGCTTAACACTTCCAATCCAACGTGCCTAAAGACCCTTTACAACATGTTGAAAATTCAATGATAAGAGCACGAACTAAAACCATGAACCAAGCCTTATTCAATTTCATGCAAGAAGTCCAAGAACTTGGAAAGCACTGGAGCACTCCTCTCAAGCCCAAAAGAAAGCATTTAGGTGTATATAATGTGCCTAAGATTTAAATCCATAAAAAGTCAAGTCCAAGAGGTGCAAACCTTAGCCCAATGCATGGAAGACTACAAGCGGAGCTTCTTGCAAGCAAAGAGGCATGAAACCCCACTGAAGAGGTCAAAGATGGTGTGATTTTGAGTTCCTTATGATCTCTTGATTGTCTCCTTAATTATTTCCTAATTTAGTGGTCATTTGACTTAACTCCTTTTTTTAAGGAACAAAACTAGTTATAATTTTTTATTTGAGTCTAGTCAAATATTATAATTAATTATATTATTTTTTAAATTTTGTAATTTCATAATTTTAGTATCACATCATCTAAATTATGTAGTTGAATAGTTTCTCCTTTATTTCAAATTGTTTTCATTCTCTTTTTAGTATTAGAAAATTAAGATTTTAATTTTAGAAAATAATCTTCTTTATAAGCTTATATATATAAGGCGTACTCCCTCTTGTAAACGAAAGAAATGTTGAATGAAATTATTTATTTTAGAATTTATAATTCTTGTGAGCCTTAGTACTTTGTGATGGCATCCAGTAGATGTGATCAAGAGTGTGATTAACTCTTATGATGTTTTCAAATGTTGAAGTTTTTAGAGGCAAGTGCTTTAAAGGATCTTTTCCTTGATTATTATTCCTTTATTTTTTTTTGTTTTTTTTATTTTCTTCATAAATTTCGTCCTTTTTTTTTTGTTCTTGTGTTTTGTTGTGTTTCAGCTTTTATCCCTAAACTAACACAATTCTGCTTCCGCGTTCCCTATCACATATGCTTTTTTTCTCCCTTTCTCCAAGCACAAACAAGCATGGCTAATGCACCGTCAGCATTGCTTGACAGTTGCTTGAAGCTGAGTCAACACTATATTTTCTTAGAAGCGAGATATGACACCTTTAATGGAGGATGACCATAGCACATAATGTGTGTGTGTGTGTGTGTAATGTAGTTTATATATATAACAGTCTTCCAAAATTCCTCCTGCTCATAAGGACTCAATTTGACGATTCTAGCCTTGTTCCAATTTCCCCTGGTTTCCCGTCCAGAAACAATTTTTGTTTTTTTTTTTTTGTTTTTTTGAGTAAGAAACTGAATATCATTCAATAACTGAACAAACAAGAAACTAAAAGCAGGCTAAAGGGAAACCTAAAACAATCATCATCCACCTCCTACAAATGCCTAAGATGGTGGATGATCAAAGATGCGAAAGCAATCCTCCTCAGAGTGAGCTCTCCTGGCTAGATTGTGAGCAGTAATAATAACATTCCTAAAAGCAAAATTGATGGAAAGAGACCAATTCCTATTTAACACCTTAGTAGCATAAGATAGGATGTCCTGAAAAAGGTGATCCTCGTTAAATCCTCTAGTTAGGAGATCAATGGCTTTAACACAATCAGTGTAGATTTCTATTTTCAATAACCTGCTGACCAGCAAATTTCAAGTCCCATAATGATACCCATAATTTCAGAAACAATTTAATAGTCGTAATAATAGCCCCCTTTTAACATGAGCTAACAAACACTCTCGCCCTTCATCTTAAGGTTTCCAAGGGCAACATTCATGGCTACGAATTCGAAAAGTCTCAATATGTGGAGGCACTGTGATGCATTCAGCGCAAAAGGGATTAAATGTGGCTTTTCATGGCTGATCTTGTTTCAGAAACAGGCTTCTGATCATGACGATTGACATTCCTCAAATTTCTCTCCTAATCAGTTAACCTAATATAAACTAGCTTCCCCGCCATGACTGAAAGAAATGTCTCAGAAAATTCAAGCAATATCCGATTTGGTAAATAGATAGATTCAAGCATAAAATAACTACAATCTAGAATGGGCCTATAATCTTTCCGATCCATCACAAAATACACAAGATGATAAATAGAATCCAGCGAATTCCATGACTCGGTGTTGAAGAAACCTTACCGCGGACAAAATGAAAACAGATTAGAATTTACGAGTTGTTCTCAACAACAAACATAGAAAGCCCTTGTGCCCTCCCCACCATCGGGAAGGCAAACAAAAAAGGATTTAACATTTGTCGAAATTGCCTTAAAAAAAAAAAAGGCAAACGCAGCCATGAGAAAAATGCAACAAGAACAAACGCAGAAATATGATTACAGTTACCGACTTACAGGACCCGAATACGGAAGGTGAAAAAGGCCCGATCTGCCAGAAAGGTTACTCGGCTGCTTCTGCAGATACCGATGGATGCGCGCGCAGAGGTTGTTTGTTTCTGTTGCCGTGGAGGAGGAAGGACTTGCTTTACGCTAAAAATTATACATTGTTTTGGTGGTTAATCAGGAGCACTTATTCTTATTCATGCTTTTTTTTATATAATGAAGATACATAATATTGATGTTAATTTTGACATTTTTTAATTAAGACATTCATAAATAAATTGACATGCAACTACACTGAAAAATCTATAAATGATCAAAGACTATAAAAATTATTGATTTAAATTTTTTTTAATGAAAGGGATAATAATTGACGAAACAGTAAGAAGAGAGGCCAAATATTGATAACCTTATTCCCCAGACAAATATAAGTAACTAGGCCTTCAGTTTAAGTCAATAGACATTCAGTGCAAGCCAACCTTGCAGTGAATATACCTTTATTTTGGTTGAACACCATTTAAATCTCCTAATTTCCTTGATCATGCCCTGGAAAGGAAGCCCAACATAAGCATTGAGTTGGCTGCCTCAAACGTAACCCTAGCAATCTTCATTAAGCACATTGGAATAAAAAATTCAGCTAATAAAATATGGATTTAAATTTAGTGACTGTCCTTGATATAGACATTGAGTACTTATTCCATACAAATTGTTGAAATTTATATCAAAGATTTTTAATTCATACTCAATCTAAAATTAATAAATAAGTGAACTTATTTAAATAATTGATTTAAATTTTAATGATTTAAATGAGACAAACACTTAGTGTGAGACAAATACTAAATTCAAATCCAATGAAATTCACATATAAACTCAATTTAATGGGTTTATATGGATTAGAGTTAGGAAAATAGGTAGTCCCACAAACAATAAATTTTCTTAATATGAGATGCCAAAGAAGGCTAATCTCCCCTCTTGGAATGTAGGAATTTTTTACATTGGTGAAATGCTTGCCAACACCCCCTTTTTTTTACATTTTTAATTTTTTTTAATGTCAAATTGAATTACAATTTTTTATAGAATAAGAAATTAAGTTGTTTCCATATTATCATAAAGTTATATGGTTAAATTGACCTTACAACTTGAAAGTATAACCATTAATCTATTTTACGCAAGTAATCAATCAATATCATCAGCATAAGCAATCTAAAGTTGAAAATTCAATAATAAAACCAAGCTCCCAACATACAATGAAGGTGATACTTAAAAATATAAAATAAAAAGGTTGTTTTTCATTGAAAATAAAATAAAATAATTTTAAAAAATGGGCCTACCTTTTATATGGGTTAAAAAATTTCATTTCAACTGGGGTGCTTTTTGACAACGCTTTAAAAAAAAATATTGGTAAATTGCCCGCTAACCCATTTTTTCCTTCTTCTTTTTTGACATTTTTAATTTTTTAATTTCAAATTGGATTACAATCTTTTTACAATAAAAAATTAAGTTGTTTCCATATTATCATAAAGTTATATGGTTATATTGACCTTACAACTTGAAAGTATAGCCATTAATCTATTTTACGTAGTTAATCTATCAATGTCATCAATATATAAATAACAAAGCAATCTAAAGATGGAAATTCAATAATAAAACCAAGCTCCCAACATAAAATAAAGATGATACTTAAAAAATATAAAATAAAAGGTTATTTTTTAAAAATAAAATAAATAATTAAAAAAATGGGCCTGCCTTTGATATGGGATAGAAAAATTTCACTTCAATGAGCTACTAATTGACAACCCTTTTTTTTTTAATTGGTAAATTGCCTGCCAACCTTTTTTTTTCCCCCTTTTTTTATTTACATTTTAATTTTTTTTTTTAATCTCAGATTGAGTTGCAGTCTTTTATAGAATAAAAATTTAAGTTGTTTCCATATTATCGAAATGCGCGAGTAAGGATGTTCCTGGGGTGACCTTCCTCCCTGGTTTGGTTGTCTAATCATTTGATAGGAGAAATACCAAGTAATGAGAGGTAGCCTGGTTTAAGCTCTGAAGTCAGGGTCAGGAACCATCTTGTTCCTGTTTACTTGGTTATCCATTCATGACATGAGAAAACTTGCAACTTCCCACCTATGTGTTTCAATGAAATACAGCTGTTAAATATTTTGCTTATCTGAACTGAATCTATACATAAAACTCTGATCAATTAGGCACAAGATCACGAGGCATCGTTATATACAGAGCCTCTTATCTTTGCGTCGATGTTTAAATGCCCTTATTCATGTCTGTTCTTAAAAACTAGAGGTGGAGCCTGTTACGTCCATGAATAAGTTGTGAAACAAGCTATAACATTGCTTCAACAAATTATAACGTTGCTTAAAATAAATCTATGGAACTCGTTGCCCTCTGAGGAATTTGTGGTGGAATCAACGGTTGCACGAGGGAAGAATTTTCAAAATTTTCTTCCACATGCTTCTCCGAAGCAAGGGGGACAGTGACCTCTTTGCCAGGCTTGGCTTCTTCACTTTTTCCCCAGACAACAAGGTATAATCCAAATATGATCAAAGAAGCTCCAAGAATTCTGCATTACAAAAGTACTATAAATAAGCTTTCTGTAGCACAAGAAACGAGGAAGCTTGACATTCATTTCGTTAATCCAAGAATCATTATTTCCTGACTATGTGAATGTCTTTATCTTGGACAGAGCTTAGATAAAGGTAAATAAAATTACTAATCATTTGACAGCTTGGACATAGGGATTAAACTCAAGACAGCAAATTTAGCTCACCTCAATGTGAAAGAATGAGACATTAGCTGGTGGCTACAAAAGCACTTTAGAACCTAAATAAATAAGAGCGCAGAACATCCTAGTTTGTCGGTTATCATCCTGGCTTTCTAGTTTGTTACCATTTAAATGTTAATTTCTTTCCTTTATCTTTTCTCCTATTGCTGTTACTTCATGAGTAATAAACGGCATATAAATATGTTAATCAAGCCAGATTTGAAGCTAAGAGAAGCTTTCAGGCCAAAAATAAGAGTGTTCACTATGAAAAGTTTTATCCCTCTGAGTCAGTAATAGCTCTTCAAAAGTAGATCACACATTTTGTCACCGAAAAATTTTGAATAAAACAAAATGCAAGTGAAGTGGTTTGGATAATGAGAACTCACCCTCCCAAGAAGAATTCTTCACCTAAAGCAAAAGATGTGATTAAACCTACAATTATTGTTTGCACAGGCTGATAAACAGAAGTAAACACGGGCCCTCCCTTGCCAATAGCCCATATCTGTAATGCTGCTGCTAGCGCGGAAACCACCACTCCCTGAAACAACCAGTCTTTTCTGTCACACTATTGGATGACATGTAGAAATTAAGCAACCTGTGCCAAGAATGCAAGCAAGAGGATAGTATATTATCTTCCCTTTGCATGTGTGACTAAAAATAAGTGTTTAGGTTGTGAAGGCCATCAACTATGAGTCCCAATTTCTGACAGGTTATACTTGTACCCGATATAAATGTGCTGCCCTTGTCATCAAATTGGAAAAAAAAAACACTGAAAATATAGGGATTACGCTAATATACAATGGCTTGTAGTTATATGCTCAATTTCAAATGCAAGAAGCAGTTTGAGCATGAGTTTGATTTACAAACCGCATACAAAAGGCTGTAGAGCTCGTCGCTAGAGTTAAGATGCCAGGATTCAGAATCATGCTCAAAAGAGGCTGCTAGCATCAAAAACTGCATAATACCGAAGAAGCAAGTAGACGCTGAAACGGAGAGTGGGGCTGGGAATTTTTTCAGCACAGATGCTTGCATAACAATCCAACCAGACCAACTTAGGCAGTGACCAATGAGACCAATGCAACCCAAGGTCCAGCTTTTCCCGTGGCCACCCACTAATAACGGCAACAGGTATTTCTGATGTAAAGCTGAACGTGGATTGTAAATGATAGGTCCCTTGAACAGCGTAATCACTGAAGCTCCTGCTACAGAAGCAATGACTCCAAGGACCTTAGCCACCCCAGATACCCTGTTTAGGCGTACGCTCTCAAATCTGTATTAAATGAAATACATATGGCTGCCAGGGTAAGTATAGAGGACCATTTTGACTCGAAAGTTTTTTCTAAGCTTCGCATAAAATCCTCTGTAATTGAAGCGTGGATGTAATACAGGGCACCATACCTGTTGCTGATATGAAAAATGGGACGTAAAAGATCTAAATTTCTTGGTGATAGAGTTATGATACATCTTTCTAACATTAAGTACATAATTATAGGCCTTTTGTCCTTAAGACTATGTATTAATTACTGCTTGCCTGAGTATTACAGCCATGAGAAAGGTTAGAGCCGGAACAGAATTCTGCATAGCGGACGCAAATGTAGGGGATGTATTTTCCAAACCCACGAGGTAGAATCCTTCTTTCATTGTTATTCTGCGACAGAGAAAATCAATATTTGAAAATTAGACTGCTATGTCGCGTCAGTAAATGAATCAACGGAGCTGCAACGTGGAGAAATCATGGTCATACCCGACAAGTCCAAGTAAGGAAAACCGTATCACACAAGAAATGGTTATCAATGGCCTTTGGTTCCTAACAGAGACAATAGCAGGTTAGAAAATTAGGTGACCTGAGGCGGATGATGAAGAGCGAATACTGGTATTAAAATAAATCCAATAAATCAAGGGGTAAACTGCATACTTTTCTGAAAAATAAGCAAGGGGACCCAGAAGAATCAGAGCAATGATGTTTCGATAAACAGGCAAGACCAGTTTGCTCACGCCCATATTAAGTGCAAGTCGCAGAAAAAAATGGTTTCCTGCATGACAGAACTGTAAAAACGTCAAGATTATGTGCAGCTTGGCTCGTTCAAGCACCATATTCTCTGCTTCTGGAATTTTTGGTGATTCAGATCCGCACAGAGAAGAGAGTGTTCAGGCCCTTTGAATGCACTATAGATTCGTAAGCTGGCTGTGTTGGACCATTGGAAAGGGGAAGAGTCAAGCAGGAGGGAAAATATTTCTGACGGCCCCCGTCTGGCTGGAGGGGCATTTTTCATATGACCCGGCAGGATTTGCTTGTCCTTATTCAGAGTGACGTCTAAAATCTAGGGTGAATAGCATTTAAGGCCCCCAAGAAAATCTGCAGGGTCCGTGGATTTTGATAATCGTGTGCGGGCAATGTGCAATTATTTTCAAAATTGAAATGACTGCACTATCTTTAATAAGTGAAAAGGTCTCAAACGTGTACTTGCGTGTAAACAAGGAAGCAAATGGATTTTTTATTGGGTTAAGGTACAAATATGCTTCTTCTTAAGGATCGCACAAAAGGCATCAGGTGTCTCAGACAAAAGAGGAGGCCAATGTTGCCCATAACTTTTTAAAAAAAGAGTAATGTCACCCAATTTTAACATACACTAACAGTTGACCGTTAGTTGGAGAATATTTTAAGTTGTTAAAGCTAAGCTAGCTGCCACGTCATTTTTCATATTTGTTCATGTTGCTGCCGTGTCATTTTTCAACACTGGTTTCACGGCATTGTTACTCAAGCTGCATCCTTCAATTTCTAGGAATCAGCATGAATATCAATTGACTATAATTTACTCGAAGGCATGGCCGAGAAAATTTTGAAGATTATATGAAAACTTGGTTCCTTTCTACCTATCAATTAACATTTCAAACAACCATTGAATCATCATAAACAACCAATAAGGAGGAAGAACCATGAAATCAAGCTTTAAAATTAGCAAGATCATCAAGAGCCATGAAATCCAAAACATCAATCAACAATGAAATATATTTATTATAGCTGGAAAAAATCAACAGATTTGAAAAAATCTAATAAATTTGAAAAACCATCTAATCTGGAAAAATCTAAAATATAATTAAAGAAAATCAAGAGTCATAAAGACGCCGATGCTGCCAACAACATGATTCGAGCAAGGAGGTAGCTAGTTATGGGTTCAAATTTTAAAGGTGTACAGAGACTTAGGTTTCTCTTTATGTAGAGGCTCATCCATGTAGCAATGGTGTCATCGCGTGAAAACTCGTTTGAAACAAGTTCTTCCAAAGTGTCAACAGTCATCGAGGGGTGTCCCAAACTCCTTTACCTGTCATGAGTCATCCTATCTATCACTCTTCTTCATCATCTTCTATTGAAATTAATGAGAATAGACAACAAAACCAGAAGCCTATCGGTCTAGTTTTTGAGGAAAAGGAAAAATTAGTGCTAAAGGTGAGTAAGAAAAAGCAATTATTTAGTTGAAAAGCATCACCAAGACAAGAAAGGACACGAGAATTTCTCTTTACTCACCTGTGTTGCTTTCATCACCCCTATCATTGATCTTGTCGAAGCATTAAGTCGTGTAAGTAAACATTGTCGCTTTACTAGTTAATTTCTCCCTAGAGAGATTTAACAAAGTGAAAATTGTAAGGTCTAGATGCATCCCTTTACTAGTTGACATCCTAAATTGGATTCCCCAATGCACAGCAGCATGCAGCAGGAGCACTATTTAGGTTAGCCTTAGATGATAAGAACAAAATGACAATCAAATCACCATCCATATGTGCCATGTCAATAAGTCAAGTTACGCTACCTTCATCACATGTGGTGTGCTTACTGGGCAAATTTGATCAAAATGAACCATTTTAACAATCAACATTACCTTAACATTAAAAAAAGGTCAACATTACACTGTTTCGGATACCTAAAGGTCAACATTGACCTTTTGGTGAGTTTAGGCACTCCTCGTGTGATACTTTTAAGGGTAAATTTGCACTTTAACTCTTTTTTATTATAAATAATTTAATTTTTATTATCATTTACAAACCTTCTGTTATTAATTTTATTTGGCTAACATATGCAGTACAATGTTCTCACTCATTAAGAGTAGTTTAGTCTTTTTAACTTATAAAGTAATTGTACGTAAGGCCTTTGGTCTTATAGAGGACTGTCAAGATCTATTTTGCAAGGCAAATATCTTCCTTTAGAAAGCATTATATATAGTTCTACCTGAACCTTTTTTTAAATACAAAGGCAAGCTAAGCTTGAAAGAAAAAAAAAATAAAACAGCCTAAATACTATTAACCAAAACATATAGGAGAAGCTGAATACAATCATTTGGAGCTATCAAGCAACAAGCAGTGTCTTCATTGGAAGAATGTCCCAAGTCTAGCTATTTAGCTTGTACATTTCTTGATTTCTCTATAGCTATAGGTAACTTCTAGATCCCAATCATAATAAATAAGATCTCTAGTTAAACCAATAATGTCCATAAGGATGATTTCCACTGCTATCTCAAAATAACATATTCATTGCCTCTAAAGAGTTTGTGAAGAGTTGGATTTTACTAAAGCCATGATGTTTATAGACCTTTAATCTTGTCTTAATTGCCATCATTTCAATCATTGAAATTGAATCAACATTTAACTTATGACAAAAGCCTATAATGCAATGGCTTTTATAGTTGTGAATCACACCAACACAGGTTAATTGATTATAAGCTCTAATAGATGTGTCCATTGAAACATCCCAAAATTTAATCCCTTGATTAATTAAACTTAATTAGGGTAATTAAGTAAGTTGAAGAGGTGTGTGGCTAGAGAGGTCTAATAATCATATTTGATGGTATTTCAGTTCTAATTGTGGGTCTGATATCAAGGCAGGCCACCCAAACATCAAAAGGAGAAAAAAAAGGAAGAGTTGATGTTGCTGTGCCACATGCCGTGGCGTAGAGATCATTTGTCACGGTACAAAGACATTTCTGAACGAGGGAGGACTTCTCTGTGCCATGCAATTATGTGACCTTTGTGGTGCATGACCATTTTCTACAGTTTATCAGACGTGAAATGAGACAGAAATAGAGAGAAAGAAAAGAAGAAATGGAGAGACGCGCCAATTCTATGCTAGGGTTTAATTATGGATTATGTTAGGAGTATTTTGAAGGCTACAAATACCCAAGGTAAGTACCACACTCATTAATTTCCTCATTTCTTCCACATTTATGAGTTTATGATTAGGGTTTGATAATAGAAGTGAAATTTCGATCCATATAGGTTATAGGTTCAAATTTATTGACTTAAATAGAGTTAATAAGAGTCATTAGAGTATTTAAACCTAGGTATAATAAGTTTTGGTGTCTTAAGTTATTAGGCACCGTTAATATCTGAAAATCCCATTTATTATAGGTAACTGGAAGTTTGTGATGCCATTAATGAGAATTTAATGGCTTATTAATGTTATTGGGGACTAAAGGTAATTATAAAATCCAATGGATAGGCTCCAACTCATGTAGAGTGAACATTAGGCAATTTGTAAATGCTTGAAGTGGTAATGTTGATGAAATTTAACTTGGTTGATTATAGTTTTGGCTCTTGGTCACCTATTAGATTAGAAAATTCAAGCTTTTGAAGCTTGTAATTAAGGGGTAAACCTTTGACCTCATAAAAGTTTAAGGCAACTGGAGGAAACTCTACTTTAGTAGTCATATATTAATTGATTGTAAATGGATTTCTATTATGAGTGTGGCATGTATGGGTTAATTTTCAATGTGAAAAGCATGTGCTAGTTTTTGATGAGCATATGAAAAATTGAATGTGTATAAAGTTATTTTGATTTGAACTGCAAACGCCTAATTAAGATGTTTTTAAATATAAACTTGCATATGTCTTTAGAAAAATGAATGTGGTGATTATGTGAGACAGATATGTATTGATGAGAAATGAATTTTGAGAAAATAAGAAGAATACATACTTGGGTAGTGCATAATCGTGAGCCTAACGTGATTGTTGTAATAATAAGTATATGAAAGCAAAAAAGTAAAAACGAGTGAGTATTGACTATGGCATGATCAGTGGCGAGAGTTCACCTAGGGGTTGGGAGTAGAAAAATTCATATGGTGTTTAGGCTACCCTTTGGTGCACGGGGATATAACCTTGTCCTACTGTTTGTCGAGAAACTGTCCCATAGTTTGTCGAGAGACTAAAACCTAACTATCTCCACCGGTTTAATGAGAAAAATAGCCTAGGGTATAAGACACCCTAAGGATTTAAGAATGGGGGAAGCCGTGGTCTGAGAGTGAGTTCTGTGATCTTTGACCGAGTCACACCTCACGATTGGTAAGCTTGGGTAGTCCAGTCACACGAACAGAGCTCTAATCAGTGTTATAGCCCACGGTTTTAGTTTGAGAAAATAAGGAGGATATAAGGTTGGTTGATCATTGTTTAAGTAAATATATGACGTGTCACACGTGTTAAATGGTGGCATGTCACATGAATAATGGGTCATGTTACATATTTAAGAATATGATGACAACGCACCTAGTTATGGCAGTTAAAGAAGTTATTTAATAATCAATTACAAGATATGATAAATGCCAGCATGTTTTCTATACTTGATTTTCTTGTACATGTATTTGGTTTATAATTAATACATAACTGTATAGGGTAGGTTTAACTTTAGTTACTTAGTGGCTATACTCACCCCTTTTATTTAACATTTTCAGGCTCTAGCTCTGGTGTAGAGAGAGAGAAGGCCTGAGAAGCTAGGAATTAGTATACTGTATGCCTCTAGTTTAGATTAAATAGTATAATAGTATATGACTTGCAATTTTAGGATGCGTACTATCATACTTGCACTATTTTATTGTTGAAAATGTTAGATTTGTATTTTAGGCCCTTAGTCTTGGTGTTTGTTGATATATATGTTTATAGGGTCAAAATACTAGTGCAAGTGTAGAAATAATGATTCGACCATGTTTTGAATGATTTGGGTGAAATTTAATGACAATTTACCTCCCTTTCTGTTTTTAGTAAAATGGGGTTAAGGAGTAAATTTTTGCTATACTGATATTTTAGTGCTTGTAATATGTTATACTGGTAATCTTAAGTCTATTAGACATGGTCCAAGTGTTAGGAAAAACTTTTAGCACATGATGAGGGTTTTGGACACCCATTTTGTGTTAAAGTTGTGAAAAGTGGTTAAAATGTGTTTAGGTATCCAACTTCCTAATGTGACTTGTTTTAGAAGTAAAACTCATGCTATTAGCTAGTTCATGTAAAGAGTTTTTCATAGACACCTAGATCACATCATTTGGACGTCGGACGGAAAATCAGGGTGAGTCGGAAGTCCCTAATTTTGTTGTCAAATGACAGCAAAATCAGTTGAA